AAACTGCAACTAGTGACAGGGATAATAATGCTCCTTTAAAATAACAAAGTGAAACCACTGTTATCTGGAAATTTCGAAGCTTTCCGGTATGGAGTATATTTTCAACTAGAAACTTTTGTAAATTCCTCCTGCGCCGAACCTCCAGTGGAATTTTAAAGAGCATACCTAAGGTAAGGCGTCGAAGCTGCTGCCGGAACAAGTACCACAGGCAAGAACAATTCTCATAAACACTGCACGTATAAAGAGAGCATACATGCGGAGAAAATATCACACAATACCTGCAGCAACCGCGTTACCCACGCAAATGAATATTGCTTCCTCTTTATATTTACTGCGACGGGAATTTGATTTGCATAATGAAACAGAAAAAATGATTGAACTGATGCCAGTTACGAGATATGATATCGACGGACAGAATCAAGTTACTACCAGAGTGTGGTACCGTAACTACCGATCACTGGCATCGCCAAAGGGAAATTCATAGAACTGACATTTTTCGGCGCTTCCAAGGGATGTAATATTTCAAGCAAGTCCAGCACATCTCGTTGGACATAGCTTTGAAACAAATTTAATATTTCTTAAGTTTTAAAAATGATTGCACAAATATTTACCTCGAATATTTAGAATGTAAACATTCGCCCAATCCACAATTCGTGGTAGGCAAAGAACTGTGCATAACCTAGAAGAAACGATTCAAAAAGCTGGTTTTCTTTTGTTTGCTTTGTCAGGTAACATCGAAGAGTCGAAAACGACAATCTGGTGTAAAACTGCAATCTGATTTACACATTGTGCTGGTTATTAGGTCAAAACGAATTGTACCCATAACGGACACTCGAATCAGACAGCATGGCCGTACATATGTCTCAAAATAAAAATTAAGAACGAATGAATGAACCAATCAATGAATGGATGAGCGAGAGAATGAAATGATAGAGAAAGACTTAGATAAATGGGCACAGAAGGATAGGTGGTCAGACAGTAAGCAGCCACGCAGATATGGATATACGAACAATAGATGTGTAGCGGAACAACTCTGTGCATCTGTTCATCCATCCATCTGTAAACGTATTTATCGCAGCAATCAAAGAAATGATTAGACACAGAGAACCAAAGTGACAGACTATGCACAGAATATATAATCCGACGTCCTTGGGGACCTTCCGATACTGCCGCTGAAGAAATCACATTAAAAATATTGATACCGGATTGAAACGGAAAAAATGCAGTGCAATGAAAGAATATTTTTTCTCACTTTACACCAGCAGCATAACGGCACTGCCCCCTGCTTCTAGACGTCTAGGAGGACCATTTAAGCAAGCCACAACTCCGTGGTATTTAAGCGCTTGCAGTGCACAGGATGCAGAATAGCGTCAGAAACTGGGTTTGAATGAACGTATATTCAACCAAAATTGCCACGATTCATTGAGAATGATGGTCAGAATATGTAACCTCGATGTTCTTGGGAACCTTAAGATACCGCCTGTATTATGTATCAGTTTTTTAATGCGATATCTTCATCGGCGGATGACTGAAAAGACAAACTGAAAATTGAACATCCGGATAAGAGCATCCTTCCGCAATTCGCCTTGGACAGCCTAACAATCTGATATTGTCCATGCATTCATGTCATTCATTATCTGACATGTCTGATAATGTGTCATGAATACGCATTTTCTATGGTTATTGGTGAAACCTGAGGCACGACTGCAAAAGTGATTCGAAAAATCGTATACGTAATTCCTCGGCAGAATATTCTGTTATTCAATCTTTTCATCAGTCTTACATAACGACCGAAAATGTGATGAAATATAACCATCTAACTGCACAGGAAACCACCCCGGTCAGCATAAGTATTGCCGATTACCAGTATCGGGGTAGTGTTGCATTTGGATTAGGCATATTTGACGGTGGGAGTAACTCAATGACCCAATGTGCAAGACTGAGGCATCCATATTTGCATGGAGAAATCTAACGCTGTTTAGATACGCAAATGTAATCAGTAGTGCTG